GATCATACGGCTCAGATCAGATCGCGATGAACGGTCCAGATTAACTTCCTATTTAAATGCGATCGGACGGTCCAGATCAGATTCACTCCCTATTTAATTGCGATTGGACGGTCCAGATTAAAAGGTGACAGATATAAATAATCCTCTTCATACTAAACCCTAACCCTAGTCACCAGACCCTCCTCCCTCTCCCCCGCCGGAGAAAAAGACTCAGTCGCTAGGAAGGAAGCCGACTGTCGCTGCCGCCGCACTGGAGCCACTTCCGACTGCCAAAAGAGGTAAAAATTTTCTCATTTGCTCGAAATTTGATTTTAAACACTCCCATGGGTAAATCGGAGCAAAAAAACCGGCAGATTGGCCGAAAACCACGGGAAAGACCGACAGCGCCGTTTCGAGAAAATACAAAAATCGCCTCCAATGAGGCCCTTTTCGATTCCCGTTCTGCATAATTTCTCCATCATTGTAATCACCATTTCCTTCTCTACAGGTTGACCGAACTAAAACACCAAACTAAGAAGGTGAGCCGGCGGATTGGTCACCATTTCGATTTTTTGACTTTTTCGGCTAACCGAGACCCGTTAACGTGTTTTCTCACAGAGATTGGTACAAAACTGGTCAAAAATAGGCGATTCGAGGCAAATTGCCGCCGCATATGGCGGTACCGTCGCTGGAGCACTACAGCAGAGTCGTTGTGCTGGAATTCTAAAATTGGCCAAAAAGGGTTCTTAACACTTATTTTCAATTTTTTGAGATATTTCTAAGTACTTGAAGTGCGTTTTAATCCTCAAAGGAAAATTCAGGGAACCCTGAGACTGCCCGTAGGCGCAGTCAAAAGTTTAGCATTTTGGATATCAATTTGATTAAGAATCCCTCACCTTATTCCCTATTATGGAATTGAAGTTTTATTTTAAATAATATGGTACTTTGTGAAACTTAGAAAAAATTCATAATTAATTACATGTTACTAATGGAGCCGAAATCGGTTATTTTATTATTGTTTTCTATGTTTAAACGATTTTATGATTTTATAGTTTTCGAGTGCATGATAATACACTGAAATTGGTATAATGATGCGATTGTATTCTTTTGATGCATGTTTTGCTTATTTTTTGTGACTACATTGAATTGGAAAACAGGAAATTAAAAGAAAAAGAGAAATTGTTTGATTAAGTGGATGGATGAGACGACATCCTTATTGGATATCCTGGGAGATGGTGGACGGACCGGGTACATAGGGAACCCTACCGTGAACATTGCCTTATATCGGACGGGGTATCAAGGTTTGGTAATTTGGCGCTCATACCGGACGGGGTATAGGGACGACCTGTTTCACCCTCATACTGGATGGGGTA